ATAATTTATTCATGTTGCATGCATCTTAGACATACTTAGGTGCATCATATTCATCATTTTAGCATACATAATTTTGCAGCTTTCAGAGTCAAGCTTCGACTTCAGGATGAAGGCTACTCGACTTGCAAGCACCTTTAAAGAATGATGGTGTAACTCAGCAGCAAGAAGCTACACCTCAACTGACTTTACATATCTACAGATCTCAGAACCAATTTCAGATGGGTTCGAGAACCAATTCAGATCAAATTCAGTTCAACTCAACTCAACAATGAACAACATGTTTCCAGTTTATGTCTTCAAGCCAGATTTCAATTCCACAACGGAAGATATTTGGTTGTCAGAATTCATCAACGGGCTTTCCCATAAAATGGGAGTCATCCAAAGATTGTTTTACTTGGTTCTCGCTCAGAGGAACCACCTGAAGAATCATGACCAGCTTCGACCCGTTAAGGGAAGCCATTTTTTTAAAACAAACTATTTGCAGCATAGCTTAAGTCGAGAAGGGCTATCTGCCAAAGACCCCCGAGTTCGATTACACTCAGCTTCGAGGGCACATCATTTACAGTATAACTCAAGGCTAAAAGGGTTATCTGTGACCAAAAGACCTTTGAGTTCGACTACGCTCAGCTCAACGACACATCATTTGCAGCATAACTTAAGTCGATAAGGGCTATCTGCCAAAGACCTTCGAGTTCGATTACACTCAGCTTCGAGGGCATATCATTTGCAACACAACTTAAGTCTAGAAAGGTTGTCTGCCAGCCAAAGACCTTTGAGTTCGACTACGCTCAGCTCCAAGGCGCATCATTTGCAGCATAGCTTAAGTCGAGAAGGGCTATCTGCCAAAGACCTTCGAGTTCGATTACACTCAGCTCTGAGGGCACATCATTTGCAGCATAACTTAAGTCAAGAAGGGTTATCTGCCAACCAAAGACCTTTGAGTTCGACTACGCTCAGCTCCAAGACATATCATTTGCAGCATAGCTTAAGTCGATAAGGGCTATCTGCCAAAGACCCTCGAGTTCGATTACACTCAGCTTCGAGGACATATCATTTGCAGCACAACTTAAGTCTAGAAGGGTTGTCTGCCAACCAAAGACCTTTGAGTTCGACTACGCTCAGCTCCAAGGCGCATCATTTGCAACATAGCTTAAGTCGAGAAGGGCTATATGCCAAAGACCTTCGAGTTCGATTACACTCAGCTCTGAGGGCACATCATTTGCAGCATAACTTAAGTCAAGAAAGGTTATCTACCAACCAAAGACCTTTGAGTTCGACTACGCTCAGCTCCAAGACATATCATTTGCAGCATAGCTTAAGTCGATAAGGGCTATCTGCCAAAGACCCTCGAGTTCGATTACACTCAGCTTCGAGGACATATCATTTGTAGCACAACTTAAGTCTAGAAGGGTTGTCTGCCAACCAAAGACCTTCGAGTTCGACTACGCTCAGCTCCAATGCATATTATTTGCAGTACAACTTAAGTCTAGAGGGGTTGTCTGCCAACAGAAGACCTTCGAGTTCGATTACACTCAGCTCAGAGGCAAACCAAGTTTAGTTCAAGGCAAAAAGGGCTATATGTCAAAAAATTGTCAAGTTCAATTCCAATCAGCTCGATGACACTTCAATCACACTACTGTCCGGCTGCAATCGAGGTTTTCAAGTCGAGAAGAAGATATGGGTTAACCATGCCTTAGTGACAAGAAACTGTTTTCCGGCATCATAGCTTAAGTCGAGAAAAGCTATTTGTCAACGAATACATTTTTGAGTTCGATTCCGTTCAACTCAAGGGCCTATTAGCCATATGGTGGAGTCAAGGAACCATTTTCAAGTCGAATGTTTGAACCAAGGTCTTTAAACCGAGAAGAAGACCGACGTTGACTACAATTTGACAATGAGAAGCCACATTCCAATCCAAATTATGAATTGCAGCTTCAATTCCATTTCGAGATGGACCTGACTTCGCAACTAAGGATCCATCCACAACTCAATTCAACAGGGAGTTAATTGAAATATCAGAATCAATTTTCAACTCCACCGAACGAAATTTGTGTCCATTTGTCTTTGTCCTATTTTTCGTTCCACGAAAAAGGACAAAGAGGGGCAGCTGTAGACACCAAATTTCATCTCATTATAATATTTAATATAAAGCATATTATATATATATTATGTGTTATATTATTTATTTATTATTTCATTACATGTTGCAGATCCAATAAAGGACCATTACGAGACCAAAATATCAAACGGCCCAATGGTGCTCCATTGCCCAGCAAGTGGCCCAACAAGACAAGTGAACCATAAACCCTAACGCTCCACGCCTCTCCTCGTTTTTCCTGGCAACAGGCATCGTGAGTGTGTGGGTCTCTAACCCCGAATCATCCGACGCAAGAACCTCGCGAGCATCACCAACAAACCCTCGTCAACAACTAAATCCCGATGATATCGGGATTTAGTGGAAACAAACTCTTCCGGTGAAGCTTATAAATACCTGCAAAATGAAGAACAAAAGGGGGGGACGGACAGTACAGTAAACCAAGGGGGAATCCCGATTACTCTGGTTTTTCAGGGGAAAATTAGCAATAAAAATACAGAGAATTTTCACACGAAATACATACTGAAATTTGAGAGAAATACGAAAGGGAATATACGATTTATACACAAAATATACAGAAAAATCAGGGAAAACCATACGAAAAGGAAGGGAAACCAGAGAGATTTATCAAGGGTGTTCGAGCGCCTCGTCGGAGCTTTCTTTCATCGTCGGGGTCGGTTTGGTTCCATCGGGGTTGGGTTTCTGTCCGGTTCAGGAGAGGCTTTGGTCTCGATTAAAGGGAGCTTGGCGTTGGAGTCTCAACAGTGAGAAGGCAAAGAATTTACATTGAGAAGAAAACAGAGGAATGAGCTTAGAGAAGAGTGGCCGTAGAAGGTGAGGTTGTGTAAAAATATTAATTTGTTTTTTAAAAGCATAATAATGCTTGCCACCAAAGCACCACTGTTTGGCATTTAGTGGATCTCTCTCTCTTTCACGTGAAGCCTTCAATGTATCAGGAATATGTGCATTTTTAGTTAGGGGTTAATTATTGTTTAAGTCATCCATGTTCTTGTTTGTTTCATTTATTTATTTATTTATTATTTTATTATTTATTTTTCTTTCTCACTTTTTATTTCGTTTTTTATTTCTTCTTTAACGTGTTTTGTATTTTTTTACTTTATTATTTTATAAAAAAATTATTTGATTATTTGATTTTTATTATTTTTCTTTTGCTAACTTTATTTATCTTTATTTATCTATTTTCTTTAATTTTATTATTATTATACTAACATTTTTTCCTTTCTGTTTTTTATTTATTGTTATTTTATTTATTTCATCTAACATATTTTTCAGTAGTAATTCCAATCGATTAAAAGTAAGTAACTCGAATCAGATCTTTGAATTTTAATTTAAATTTTTAACTTTTCGCATTTAAAGACAACCGACAAATTAATTGGTACCGAAAGGACAGTTCAAGGGTGCTAATCCTTCCTTGACCGTAACCGACTCCCGAGCCCGACATATTTTTGGTACAACGCAGATCAGGTAAGATGGTGTCCGACCCACCTAAATTCATTTTAAAGTGGTCGGTGGCGACTCCCAATCCATTTTTCACGTCGAAGCCCAATTCCGGGGCCCAACTGAAAGACGGTTTCGACAAATAGTATACTGACTTAATAAAGTAACATTCTATAGTCGGAGGATTATTTTGTAACTTTTAATAGTCGATGGATTTAATAAAATAATACCCTATAATTGGAGACCATTTGTGTACTTAACCCTTATTCATAATGGTATTTTAAATTGTTACCGTATCCGTTAATTAAATGTCATTAATCATATAATAACAAATTTTAAAAATTAAAGTAACAATTATCAAAGGACTTGAAAAATGCAATTTAAAAAAGGAACAAGCGTTAAGAATTTTGTTGTTGTTGTACCTAATATTTATTAAATTGGATTTGAATATGAATTGATTTAATTAAAAAATAATAAGTTTTTTAGTTACAAACTACAATAATTATTATAAATGAAATATATATTCAAACATGTTACAATCATAATTAACCATCATAAAATTAAAATAAAATAAATATAATCTATACATAATTTACATCACGTAACAATTAAATTTAAATACGAAGAATTAATATATTAGCCCAACTATATTAAATTAACAATTTTAAAATTAATAAAGGGTTAATTTAATGTAATAAATGAAACAAAATATTTTCTGTATAATATTTAGAAGACAATAAATTTAGACATGTAGAAATATAATTATTTTTAGAGTTAATACTTAATTGCATCTTATGTCCTCAATCTATGACTCTCATTCTAAATTAGTTCCTAAACTTTTATACATTTCAATTCCATCCTTAAAATATGACTATTATTCTAAATTAGTCCTCAAAATTTTGAACATTTAATTTTCATCCATAAGCTATGATTTTCATCCTAAATTGGTCCCAAACTTTTTGAATATTTCAATTTTATCCTAAAATGTTCGTATATACTAATCATGTCTTTTGTTAATAAAATCATTAGGCTTATATGCTTGAAAAAATATAAAATTTAGGTTAAACTATGGTTGAAATGGATTACATATTTGGATGAATCTGGGGATGAAATTGAAATATATAAAAGTTTAGGGACCAATTTAGAATGGGATTCATAGTTTGGGGATGAAATTAGAATGTTAAAAGGTTTAAGGACTAATTTAGAATGAGAGTCATGGTTTAAGGATGAAATTAGAATATTTAAAAATTTAAAGAATAATATGAAATGATAGACATAGTTCAAGGACATATGATGAATTAACTCTTATTTTTATTTTGAAGTAGAACTATAAATTATTTAGATGTTATAATGTGTGTGTTTACACGAAAAGGTCAATTTCCCCCGAATTTTACTAACAGCGACAGGACACTTCCGCGCCAAAATTATTACCCTCCGTAAGCCGCGGAGGGAAAAAACCAACAATTCACATCTCTCTCCTGCAGTTTATGAAACCCTAAAATATAACAATTCTGAAGAAATTCGAACGGATTATCTCTTGAAACTTTCTTTAAGGTTTTCCTCTATTCCTTTAATTTCCCCGTGCTTTCGCTGATTTTGTAGATATATAGATTTTTATTTCGATTGGATATTAGAGCTGTAAGATTTGTATTACTTTTTTAATTTTTAATTTTGTCAGCATTTAGGCTTTAGATTTCCTTTTCGTGGAAGATATATTTTCATAGGGTTGTGCTGAACGGAATGGCCTCCGTATCAAGTCAGCCGCAGTTCCGCTACACTCAATCCCCGTCGAAGGTGCTGCATTTAAGGAACTTGCCGTGGGAGTGTACGGAGGAAGAGTTGATCGAGCTGGGGAAGCCGTTTGGTAGGGTCGTTAACACCAAGTGCAATGTTGGAGCCAATCGCAATCAAGCTTTCATCGAATTCGTGAGTTCTAACCATTTTCCCCCTTCAAATCCCACCCTCTTTTCTCGATAATGTTAGTAATGATATTTTTCTTTGGTTTACCTAGGCTGATTTGAATCAGGCTATTGCTATGATAACGTATTATGCTTCATCTTCGGAGCCTGCTCAAGTTAGGGGCAAAACGGTCTACCTGCAATATTCTAATAGGCAAGAGATTGTAAACAACACAACGGCGGATATTGCCGGGAATGTTCTTTTGGTAACAATTGAAGGTCAAGATGCGCGGCTTGTTTCCATTGATGTTTTGCATCTGGTAAGGAAGATCTTTAGTTCTTTGTTTTTCTTTTGGGTTAAGAATTTCCAGGTTTGATTTTTGTAATTACTAGGATTGTGTGGTTTTGTCATGCTCTTTCCACACGCGCGCGCGCGCACACACACACACACAAAATATCTTTCTTTCTTTCTTTTGACATGAATATGAATGGATTAGCAGGATCATGTTAAGGGAATTATCTCCAATGGCAGCTTAGTGCATCTGGAGAAAGAGCACATGTGTGTTTGTCTCCTTTCTCCTTTCCTTAACACTACCTCTTCCCTACTCTTCCGTACTTACCTCCTATTCCTACCGTTAGGGTGTTTTTTTCATTTCTTTCACGTACATCTATCTCGCTCGGACTTTTTAGATGCTTTGTATCACTATGTTTTCTATTGTAGTGCTACTACTAAAGAATGTTTATCAGGCTTAGCAAGTTTGTGCATATGATCTGTATTATATATTGGGTGCCAACATCTTCCTTACCTCTGTTTGTCTTGGCACTCAGCTGAAGCCATGGCTACTTTTCATTGATGTAATCAGCAATGTTTTCTGCATTTTAGTACCTTTGCAAAATCATTGATTTCAAAGGTTCTAATTTTGTTAACATCGTTGGAAAATCAGAATTCTGAAATTCGTCACTATAATTTTCAAGCTCTATAATAAGTTTTGCTGCTTTTGTCTCATTGGTTGAGACCTGATATCTTGTACTTATCTCCATTCCTTATTTTCTGTCTGTCAGGTTAGAGGGTGTTATAGATTGCAATAACTTTTTGGAGTCTGTTTGCTTGATTTTTTTCCATTCATCTTTTAAAGTAGTTAATAATGCAGGTATTTTCAGCTTTTGGATTTGTGCATAAAATTACTACCTTTGAGAAGACAGCTGGATTCCAGGTCGATGAATTAAATGTCCTTCTTACTGTAATATTTGGTTTGCTTCAGCTTTTGAAAATAAGATATACTCTTTCTTTTGTGCAGGCATTGGTGCAGTTTTCAGATGCAGAAACAGCCACTTGTGCAAAAAATGCCTTGGATGGACGAATCATCCCTAGGTAACTGTTGTTTTAATTGTTAGATATTATAGTTTTGTTCCTTCTGTAATTGAATACATCTATCGACCCCACAGTGTCTGTAAATGTTGCAATGTTTCCAGTTGTTTGCAGAACTGAAGTACAATTCCTATCATAAAAGTAGTATCTTCCACAAGCAAAGCTTTCAATACTATAGTTTATGATTTTATGTTGTTCTTACGTGACTATTGGTTTTCTTATGATCTACTGACTTTTTCCTGGGTTCCAGGTATCTGCTTTCTGACAATATAGCTCCTTGCACGCTAAAGATAACATATTCTGCTCATAAGGATCTGACTGTGAAATTTCAGAGCCACAGGAGCAGGTATTCCTGCTATGCTTTTCTCATCTGATATTGATCATATGTATCACGTTTAATTCCAAAATTTGTGGTATTGCTTACGCATCAATGATTTCACGGAAATGAGTATTTTTCTTTTCTTTTCTAGTTTCATATCTAAACTTTTTGACTATCCCTTTGTTACGCCACTATTTACTGGGCTGCTGCACATCCCCCTGCTATTATATGTTAATTCAACATTTTTTTTTTCTATTTTTCAGGGACTATACCAATCCCTACCTTCCTGTTGCTCCTTCAGCTATGGATGGAAGTAACCAGGTAAACAACATTGCTATTGAATTGAATTTCTTAATACTAGATAGAATTGTAATGTAGTGAACCTCTGTGGATTGTTTACTGGGTACATTTCCTTAGATTACTAAGCATTAGTATTAGCACAAGCTACTTGACGTAACTTCTTTACGATGATTATATGTGATTTTTTCTTGTGCAATGAGTCGCATATATTGAGATTCAACTCTTGTTAACCTGTATTTCTCCTTAGAAACGAATACTATGCTGGACTGTATAGTGCTTGTTTAATACTTCGGCAATGAGATTCATCTGTTGTCATCATTGCAGTTCCATTTGGGTCTTGATGGGAAAAAGCTTGAACCTGAGAGTAATGTTTTGCTTGCATCTATTGAGAACATGCAGTATGCTGTTACCTTGGATGTGCTACACATGGTATTTATCGATTACTGGAAGCAGCATTTGTTGGACTATCTAGGACCTCAAATCGGTACTGATTACTTGCCATTTCCTCTCTTTCTTTTGTCCCATGTTTAGGTCTTCTCTGCTTTTGGCCCTGTTCAAAAGATTGCCATGTTCGATAAGAATGGTGCACTTCAGGCTCTAATTCAGTATGCTGGTAATGTTCAAACATTTTTATATATCCGTCTTAAATTAGTCCTTGGAATCTGGTACTTTTCCATCAAGGAGGCCCATTATTGAGAATTTCTTAGGAAGTGCTGAAAAGGTTTTTGTTTGGACTGACACTACTCGTTCTTACAAATTCATAATCGGCATTTATGACCTAGCCCATATTTTGCCTTTTATTCAGAGGCATCGACATAGGAAACAGATTAGACACTTTATTTCTATTGTCCCCTTGAATCCATGCATTAATGGTTCCATGCAGATGTTCAGACGGCTATCTTTGCCAAGGAGTCCTTAGAAGGGCACTGCATATATGATGGAGGGTTTTGCAAACTTCATCTCTCGTATTCACGCCACACTGATCTTAGTATAAAGGTAGATCCACTTTGATGCAATTGTTTAGCATGGTGGCTGAGTTAAAGGCCATGCATATTCTTCAGAATCCGACCGTGTTGCATTATATTACGAACATGGTTCATTACAGGTTTTATGCAGTTTAATCTAATAATATGGTTGGTTTATCTTTGCAGCTCAACAATGATAGGAGCAGAGATTATACAATCGTGAATCCTGTCCTGGTTAACCCGTAGCCTTCAGTTTTGGAGCAACAGCCAATTCATACAATGTAGTAAATAGAACTGCAAGTAATGAACAATTTGAATTCTCTTTTTCTGTTATATCCAAGAATTGGGTATGCAAAAGGGGGACCATCGCTATAACAACCTTAAAGTAAGACGTGGTCTTACCTCTAGAGACAACAATCACCAGTACTTTCGATAACTATCGCGAAACTGTGAGCGTCGATTTTTTTTATTGATCGTTACTGTATCGAAATAGAACCATTTTCTCTTTTCTATGTACAACGTAGAGTTAGTAACGAAGAATATGCATTTGGAATTCATTCTACATTGACAACTAGAAGCCAAATATGATCGACACCAATATGCATGTAAAATAAGATAAACTATACATTTAGTACTTAAACTATTAACATTTTGTCTGTTTTAACATCCAAACTTCCAATTTTTTTCAAAGCTTGATGTTAAATTTTAAACAGTAGTGTTAAAATGAAACAAAAATTAAATTTTAGGTACGGTTTTGAAAAAAAAATGAAATCTTAGGTATTAAAACAGACTAAATTTATAGCTTATGTACTAAACATGTAATTTACCCTATAAAATAAAATAAAAATGACATAATAATACAACTAAAGCATGCAATTAGGGGTGAGACTCGATTCGAAAACTTGCGAGTTTAAAATTTTCAAACTCGACTCGAAATCCTGAACTGAAGCTCGTGAGTAGTTCGAAAAGGCTTGAAATAAAAAAATTTCTTAAACTTAACTCGATTAAAGCCTCAAACTCGAACATGAACCTTAAATACATGAAATCTTACTATATTTAAAAAAAACAATACATAAATATTAATATTATTAATAATTTATTTAAAAAATAAAATAAAATCTTAATATATTATATTTTTGAGTTGCTCACGAGATTTTCGAGTCGAGTATCGAGTAGCTCGTTTCGGCTCGTTAAGAACTCGAGTCGAGTCCATTCAATCCGAGTATTTATCGAGCCTTGATCGATTCGATCTCGAGTATCTCACGATCTGTCTCTAGTCTCATTTACAACCCTACATGCAATATTAAGAATGAAGAGCAAAAGAAATGAAGAGAAGAATGTAAGAAACGATGAATGAAAAAATGAGAAGAGAAGAGTGGAGTAGGCAGCCATAGAAGAAAAAACAAACGTTGAAAATTTATATCTAAACAATATATAGTGATATTTTTTTTATAAAAATGTTGAATATTATATATAATCGTGTTTTATAAATATTTTGGGATAAATTGAGGTCAATCATTCTACTTCGCCCTCAATTTTTTTCTTCGACGAAACTTGATCGATCCTCGAAATTCAATTTTTAAAAAAAAACCTATTAAACCAGATCGATTTAAAATCTATCAAGTTTGATATTTTTATTATCCCTAAGCATGATGTTATACTATGCTAACAAATAATTTTAAAATTACAATAAATATTTTTTGAAAGAATATTTATTGTAAAATATGTAAGATGATTAGGTTATCTAATCAATAAAAATGTTCCACGTGAACATTCATGTACATATAGATTGTGAAAGAGATCGTGTCTGCAACATGAAAAGAATTAATGATCTTATAATATTATTATTAAAATTAAAATAATTTAAATAAAATATTAGATTAATTTAAGTAAAAAATAAATGATTAAATTAATATATATATAAGAACAATTATCATCGTGATAATCTTATATGTACTCATTCAACTCAAGGTCACCATATTTTTAATATTTGAAGTGATAATTTTGGTACAAACAAACTTTTTTTTTTATAACCAATACAATACGAAAGACTATTATGAGATATATCATAAATTATATGATAAGACGTGTGTAACCGAAAAAAGATTTCTCTCTCTTATATAGTGACGGATCTTGAAATTTAAGAATGAGTGTCTAAAATTTTAATTTTATTTTCTTAAAAATAATGGGTATGCAAAAATTATATTTTTTTCTTTTTTTCTTAACGTATTAAGTTAAATTTAACCACATTTCTAAAAGAATGTGATGCACTTGGCCCCTATGGAGGCATAGTGCGTCCGCCACTGCTCCTATGTAATATGAATGATATCTCAAATATAATGATTAAATGAGATTAAAATATTTATCCATTTTATTCTTAACCTATTCGATATTTGAAAAATAAATTATAAATATTATTATTCAATAACTTACTTTCTATATGAATATCATGAGAAATAAATACCAATTATAAATTTATAGATTATATATATATATATATATATATATATATATACATACATACATACTATAATGTAATTAAATAAAAATAAAAACTATAATTTTAATTCAAAAAACATATTTTGAGATAAATACATAATTTTTTTTATTTTTACATTTAAGTGGAATAATAATTTTTAAGCATATTTATTTTTAAAATTTACCTATTTAATAATATCTATAACTAAAAATAAATTTTTGACAATTTTTTTAAAAACAAATATCACGTGAGACTTGAATACAGATATAAGCTCAGCCTTAGGAAACGGGTTGCTAAGAATAGTAAACAATTCCCCCCCCCCCCCCTTGATTTGCTAAGATCAACGGGATGCACAATACACCTATACGGCGCAAAATAATCCCCATCTATAAACCGCAATAATTCATATTTCTCTCCCCTAGTTTGTGAAACCCTAACATAACAATTCTTGAGAAATTTCAACGGATTATTTCTTCAAATTCTCTTTCAGGTTTTCTTCTATTCGTTTGATTTTCCTCCTACTTTTAATGATTCTGTAGAGATCTATAGATTTGTATGTTTCGATTGGATATTGAAGTTTTAACGATTTGTATTTTTAATTTATTTGAGCGTTTAGGCTTTAGATTCCCTTTTCGGCGAAGATTTGTTTTCATAGGGATTGTGCTGAACGAGATGGCCTCCGTATCAAGTCAGCCTCAGTTCCGCTACACCCAACCCCCGTCGAAGGTGTTGCATTTAAGGAACTTGCCGTGGGAGTGTACGGAGGAGGAGTTGATCGAGCTGGGGAAGCCGTTTGGTAAGGTCGTTAACACCAAGTGCAATGTTGGAGCCAATCGAAATCAAGCTTTCATCGAATTCGTGAGTTTTAATCCCCTTTTTTTTTACTTCATATCTCATGCTCTTTTCTCATAATGTTAGTAATCGAATTTTTGTTTGGTTTACCTAGGCTGATTTGAATCAGGCTATTGCTATGATATCGTATTATGCTTCATCTTCGGAGCCTGCTCAAGTTAGGGGCAAAACTGTCTACCTGCAATATTCTAACAGGCAAGAGATTGTAAACAACAAAACAACGGCGGATATTGCCGGGAATGTTCTTTTGGTAACAATTGAAGGTCAAGATGCGCGACTTGTTTCCATTGATGTTTTGCATCTGGTAAGGAAGATCTTTGGTTTTTTGTTTTTCTTTTTGGTTTAAGAATTTCCAGGTTTGATCTGAGTTTATGTAATTACTAGGATTGTGTAGTTTTTGTCATGGACTTTCCACACACAAAAAAAAAAGCTTTTTGTTGTTTTGACATGAATATGAATGGATTAGCAGGATCGTGTCAAGGGAATTATCTCCAATGGCAGCTTAGTGCATCCGGAGAAAGAGCACATGTGTGTTTGTCTCCTTTCTCCTTTCCTTAACACTACTCTCTTCCCTACTCTTCCTTACCTCCTATTCCTACCATTTAGGGTGTTTTTTCATTTCTTCTTTCATGTACATCCTTCTCCCTTGGACTTTTTAGATGCTTTGTATCACTATGTTTTTATTGCGCTGCTACTGCCAGAAGAAGGCTTATTGAGTTTGTGCTAATGGTCAGTATTATATGTGTGCGCAATAAACAATAGATGCTAGCTTTATTGCGTGCCAAAATCTTCCTTATTTTAGTTTATCTTGGCACTCAGCTGAAGCCATGGCTACTTTTAGGGGAGATGGTAGCTTTTAGCTTGGATGAACCTGATTTCTGATTGGGTAGCCAATCATTCATGCAATCAGTGGTATTTTCTGTCCGCTGATGCCTTTTGTTCTGCTAATGAATGAGTGGATACATCAATAATAGCCTGTAAAGATTGAAAGTCCCTCCTGTGCCTACTGTGCTCATTCAAGCATACTTATCTCTTGCCATTTTGGAATAAAAAAATATTTCTAATTATTAATTTGGACCTGAAATGTTATAGTAATAATATGAAGTGCTAGTTGTTACAAACTAAATGTTTGTTTCGAAAGTTTAGATAAATATATCTGCTGTGAGAAAGTGAACGAATCATTTTCTTAGATATTATTATACTAAAGAACTGGTTATTTTTCTTGGGGAACAATGTAATCTACAGGGTGTAGTATTCATTAGTGCCTGATGTTTAAATATACATACTTACTCCATGAAATCATCTTTCAGAAATGTAGGTTTCCTTGGATATTAATCACAACACATTTTAAAATTAGATTTATATCTATAGTAATCAGTTAATGAGGGCATCTTTGTACCTGACTGATCCTTGAATATGCTGCGGATTGAAACTTTTTCCTTAGACTTAAATCTGAATGGTCTTTATGACTTTTGAATCTAGGACAGTTAATATCTGTCTTTGCATTTGTAATTTAGTTTTCTTCTTTTATTTGAAGCTGCTGTTGTGTTTTATCCTTCAAAGATAATAGTGATTGTATTAGATTTTTACACAGGAGGTACAATGAACCTGATAACATTGAATTTTGAGCGGCCTGAAGTGTAGCTTTGGTTTTTGGAAATATTTGAGGTTTCTTAACCCAATTTGGTTGTTTATTACATTGTTGTTCTTTTTATATTTTTATGCATTTTAGTACTTTTGCAAAATTATTGATTTTACATGTTCTGATTTTTTGTTAACATCGCTGGAGTATCTAAAATGCATCACTGCAATTGTCAAACTCATAATAAGTTCTATCTCATTGCTTAAGACCTGATATGTTGGACTTATCTCCATTTCTTATTTTCTGGCAGATATGGACTTATAGATTGCAATGACTTTTTGGAGTCAGCTTACTTGATTTTATCCCATTTATCTTTCTAAAGTAGTTAAAAATGCAGGTATTTTCAGCTTTCGGATTTGTGCATAAAATTACCACCTTTGAGAAGACAGCTGGATTCCAGGTCAATAATCTCCTCCTTTCTGTATTGATTGGTTTGCTTCATCTTCTGAAACTAAGACACTCTTTCTTTTGTGCAGGCATTGGTGCAGTTTTCAGATGCAGAAACAGCAACGTCCGCAAAAAATGCCTTGGATGGACGAATCATACCTAGGTAACTGTTGTATTAATCGTTAAACATGGTATTTAGTCCAACTATGAGCTATAGTAGACCATATAACTTCATTCATTCTGTAATTGATGTACATATATCGATCCCTAAAAATTTTGACAATATCTATAAGTGTTGCAACGTTTCAGGTTGTTTGAGTTCTTTTAGTCCTTGACAATAGAAATCATAGTATCCTCCACGGGCAAAGCTTTTAATATTACAGCTTTTGTTGTTCTTAAGTAACTATTGGTTTTCTTGAATGATGATCCACTGATTTTTCCCGGGTTCCAGGTATCTGCTTTCTGACAACATAGCTCCTTGTGCGCTTAGGATAACATATTCTGCTCATACAGATCTGAGTGTGAAATTTCAGAGCCACAGGAGCAGGTATTCCTGATATGCGTTACCATTTACTGGGCTGCTACACATCCTTTTACTATTATATGTTAAATTAAACAAATTGTTCCTTTCTTTTTCTTTTTTTCAGGGACTATACCAATCCCTACCTTCCTGTTGCCCCTTCGGCTATAGATGGAAATAGCCAGGTAAACAACATTGAACTGAATTGCCTAACAGTAGATAGAATTGTTATACTGTTCACCTTCTGTGTATTCTTTAGTGGGTAGATTTTCTTATAGCTCAAAGCATTAGTTTTAGCAGAGGGTATTTGACATAACTTGATTAAAATGTTTACATGTGATTTTTTCTCATGCAAGGTGTCGCATTCGTTGAGATTCAACTCTTGTTAACCTGTATTTCTCCTGAGAAATGAATTATGTTGCCTTACTATGCTGGACTGTATAGTGCTTGTATAATACTTTGTTTGTTAATGAGATTCATTCATTTGTTACCGTTGCAGTTCAATTTGGGCCTCGATGGGAAAAAGCTTGAACCTGAGAGTAATGTTTTACTTGCATCTATCGAGAACATGCAGTATGCTGTTACCTTGGATGTGCTGCACACGGTATTTATCAATTACCGGAAGCAACCCTTGTTGGACTGTCTAGTACCTCAACTCAATACTGATTATTATTGTTTTCTCTCTTTTCTTTTGCCACATGCTTAGGTCTTCTCTGCTTTTGGCCCTATTCAAAAGATTGCCATGTTTGATAAGAACGGTGCACTGCAGGCCCTAATTCAGTACCCTGGTAATGTTCACACATGTTCATTTATTGTCTTAAATTATGCCTCAGAATCTGGTACTTCTATCAGGATGGCCCATCATTGAGAAGTTCTCACTAGTGTAGAAAAGGTTATTTTTAGACTGAGCCTGCTTATTCTTACAAATTCGTAATCGGCATTTACGGCCAAACCCATTATTCTTTTTCTATTAAGGCTAGAACATTAGAAAGAGTAAGGGCATTTTATTCTTGTCGTCCTCAGTCCCCTTGAATTCATGCATTAATGGTTCCATGTTTTGCAGATGTTCAGACGGCTATTGTTGCCAAGGAGGCCTTAGAAGGGCACTGCATATACGATGGAGGGTTTTGCAAACTTCATCTCTCATATTCACGTCACACCGATCTTAGTATAAAGGTAGATGTGCTTCGATGCAATAGTTTAGTTTGGTGGCAGAATTAAAGGCCATAAATATCCATCACACTTTTCCGTTAAGGAGGTAGAGAAAGTTGGTGGGGGATTTGGAGTGTACTGGTTGTATCAGTACGCTTCGGAATTTGACTATGTCGCATTATATTATTAAACATGGTTCATTACGGGGTTTTACGCAGTTTAATCTGATAGTATGGCTGGTTCATCTTTGCAGCTCAACAATGATAGGAGCAGAGATTATACAGTGTCTAATCCTGCCCTGGTTAACCCACAGCCTCCAGTTCTGGGGCAACAACCGATTCAAACAATGGGTCAAGCTGGGCATCAATACAATGGGACTCAATATCCTGCACCAGGTATGGGGCAACCTATGATGCCTCCACAACCTTCAGCCGGATGGGGAGCATCAGCTGTTCCAGCAATGCCCCAATCGATGCCGGCACAGATGACTAATCATAATCCTTACTTTCCACCGGCCTCAATGCCTCAAATGAGCCACGGAATGATGCAGATACCGGGCCAGAGTGGCATACCACCACCAGCTTCGACCATGCCTCATTTCAGACCCAATCATATGTAAAATACCATCTCTCTATCGAGTATCAACAGTATAAAAATAGCAGCGTGTCGGCCTCAGCTCGGTGGTTGCTCCCCATGTTTTGACTTTCTTTATAAATTGAACGGAAACATGGTATTCGATTTTAGACGACATTTTTTGTATTTAAATTTTTAGAATTTCGAATAATTATTATTATACCCTTATATATTTAAGATAAAAGAATAATTAGAGATAAAGAATCTTTAACTCAACTTGAATAATTATGATTATATCCTTGTATATTTAAAGTAGTTAAGGGTAAATTACGAATTTAGTATCTAAATTATTACTTTTGATTCATTTTAATATCTAAATTTTAATTTTTTTAAAATCATATTTAATATTTAATATTTGTTTCATTTTTGTAATTGTTGCTAAAAACTTGACGTGATTAATATCTAATCTATAAGCTTTGTTTCATTTTAGTACTTAAATTTTCAACAAAAAAAAATTAAAATTTAATATTAGATTTTGAACATGGTATTAACATGGTACTAAAATAAATCAAGATTAATAATTTAGGTATTAAATGCATAATTTACCTTTTATTATAATGTCTTTCTATATATACATTATTAATCATCTCCCTCCTCCAAAAAGATTTAAAAGAACATATATATTTGTATCGAAACAGAGCGAACAAGACAACATCAAATAACCGCTCCATGCCTCGTCCTAATCTCAACTTTGACTTTTTAAGTCTCAACTGACCAGCCCTTTATTCTTCTTGGCCACTTATAGGGTTTGGTTTTCTTTAGCCACTTTAAATGGATATGTTAGTGCGTTACAATGTTATTAATACACTCTTAATTAAGTTCATTATCTCCTTTCCCTTTTTCTCACGTGCAAGAATCAAGTTCTTTCTTTTCCAATCCTTGAATAACGAGGTTCATCTACTACAGACAATAAATCGAGCACATTAAGTTAACAACAAAAGGTGAGACCCAATGATTAAGTACAAGCAAATGCAATGTGTGTGTAGAAGATGGAATACCCACAATTGCCAGTCCATCCCTAAAGCCTCCCCGGATAAGAAAAGCCTTTTGAAGCTTCATCCATGGCAACTATAGCCACCACCTTCTTCTTTTATCACCTCGGCCCCCCCAACTTTCATAGATCAATGGGTTCGGTCCTGTCCTGCACTGCTAGCCCCTCGGACACATCCGCGAGTGATTTGAGATTGCACTTGATCAAAGCTTCGACAAAGTAGCATGTCTCGTCCCTTGTGTTCCCTTCAGGCACATCTACCACAAAGGATTCGATTACTAACGTCCCCAGTCTTCCATCGATGATCTCCGGATGGAGGGAAATGATTGAAGAGTAGTTCTGGATAAAATTTTTAAAAAATAAGGTCAAAGACATCAAAAGGGGCCTGCCACCTCCATTTTACAACTGCTACACTTAAAGGTTGAACCTCGTGACAATGACTTGTCAACTAATGAACTTTCATACCAAAACATTCAGGAAACCAAATTTAGCTGCAGATTCTAACTCCTTGGGTTTTCAAGAGATAAAAAATCTATAAATCCTTCCAAAATTCAGTAAAACACACATGAACCTTGGGAAATATTGTGATTTATGAATTCAACAACTATCTTGTTGAACATAGATCAATAAGCTGCAAGCAAATGTGTTCAATCTGCTTTGTTCTAAAGAACGAATGGACTTAAGATGCAAGATATAGGCGATACTGAATGTAAATGGAGACTAACAAAGGTTAAACCAGAAAGGAAAGGAAAGAAACAAGAATTCTACCTTAAGTCTGTGATCACCACCTATAATCCTGATGCTAAGGATATGCTCATTATCATCAAGGAGTTCCAATCTTTCAGTACTTGTAGTAGCTGGGAGCCCCGACTTGACATCAACTTCTCTAAGACTTCCAATCTCGAGGTTTCCCTGCGCAACACACCTGCTGACAAAAGGTTTATACTTCTGTGGTTGGTCAAATCTCCTCACCAAAGACCAAACCTGTTAAAGAAAAGAAAAGAAAAGCGAAAACAATACAATTTTCCGTGAAAATTATGAATATTCAGGGCAAAGAAAGAGAGATCCAACCAGAGAGATTAACAAATTCAAAAAATATAAGAATCAATCTCTACAATCGAGGGGGAGTGCATTATTTGTACATTATCTGAATATCAACTTAGTTATTGATCTTTCTGTATGGTGTATTCTTCCTTATGGTACATGCAAAAATGGAGACAGAAGAGGAAATAAAGATTTGGAACAAATACTCACGTCATTCCCATTTCTAGGAAATTGCATTTCCTAGAAATATACAATAACAAACAAGATAAGTTGCATTTAATCTGATTAGATCATAACCCCACTGTTTCTACATAAAGCAATTAACTAATCATAGAAATGAATTAATTCTCGAATTTTTTTGGGGCAATTCAACCAATCGAAGGCTGTTCAAATTCAAAGAAGAAAGTCTTGAGTTGCTCCTCAGCATTAAACTTAATCAAAATGATCTGTGTCTCGCCCAAAAAAATATCAGGAAAATTTATCTTCTCTAATTCAACAATTATGCAAAAAGGTCCTCTATTTCAATCACCAGCACAGTAAATGTAACAAATTCAATCTTTTTTTTTAATATTTGATAAAAGAATCACGAAAAAGTTCAATCAAAACAATCAAAGATTTCCAGAAAAGAGAACTACCACATATTAAGATTGATCCTTCCGGAGAAAAAGGAGAAAAACGTTGAAAAACAATCTCACTAAGTAAACATGCAAAATAATCACAAGAAAAGAAAGAAAATCACCGATCAATGAAGCTATCAAAAGAGAGGGGAGCATAATAAAATCTCCGATACAGATCCAAAGAAATGAAAGAAAACGAAGCGAAACAGAAGACGATAAGTGCGACGAATCTTGAGATGAATTGAATTATTGAAAAATATAGAACTGAAAGGGATAGAAAGAGAAAAAAAAGGACAGTTACGAGAGGAACAGGAGCTTTGATGTGCTTTACGAGAGCCGAACTACACTGGTTCTCTCCAATCTCATGCAGATGGTGTCTCCTTATATAGTCAGCAGCCGCCGCCGCACTCCCGAATCCATTGCTATTAACATTCATTTTCACTCTTCCTCTTCTTATGTAGCTACGAAAACTCGCTTCTCTCTCACGCAACAACAACGAACAGCAAACAAAGGCTCTACCTCGTCTCCTCCGACGGTAACCAGAGCTTCGATCATCGACTGGACTGAATCTCCGGCGAGGATTCTAGATTTTTGTTTAACGCGGTTTATCTGCAGAAAATCCTGTGAGTCACCGCCATAAAAAAGAGAGAAGCTACGTTGCTTCTTCTACCCTTAAGCCACTATCACCTGAAATAATAAAAATAAAATCCCAATTTTTGTCAAAAATTTTAAAATTAAATTACTGGATCAGCTCTCCGATTTGACGTTGGATTAAGAATTTTATTACTATATTTGCCATTACGTGGAATTTTAACCTTTAGAAGCGATAAATCACAATTTGGCTCCTCAATTTATCCGCCATTGCTAATTTTCTCTCTAATTTTTTTGTCAATAATAGCCCTCAAACTTAAAAAGTTTTCAATTTTGGTCCCTCAATTTAATGTTTCTCTCCCTCAAGAGTATTAAAAAAATTTAGGGATGAATTTATAATATATGAAAGTTTGAGAATCAATTTTGAATGAGGTCATAATTTAAGGATGAATTTAGAACGTTCAAAAGTTTAAAGATTAATTTAAAATAAGAGTCATATTTTGAGGATAACATTAGAATATTCAAAACATTAAGAATCAATTTAGAATAAAGGTTATTAATTGGAGACATGTAAGGTAATTTAACTCTTTTTATAAATTTTAAGTTTTTTTTTAACTCATTGAGTAATATCAATGATAAAATTGATTATTGTTCCCTTTAGGTCAGTTTGGTACAGTTTTTGAAAAGTGTTATAGAATTAAATTTTTAAAAGTGATGTATTATTAAAATTTATTTTAAATATATAAAATACTCATTATATACATTATGTTATAAAATAAAAATATAACATTTAAATTATAATATCAATTTAAACTATAATAAATTTAAAAAATTATTATTATATATGAATTATATCAATTTAAACTATAACAAAAATATAAAAATAAAAATATATAATTATAATAAAAATATATTTTATAATAACTCACTATTAATGTTTTAATATATAAACCATGGATTTTATTTACTTTTAAGTAATTAAAATAAATTATTAAGTAATAAATTGTTTTTTAAGGATGTTAGTATTAAATTATTAAAATAAATGTAAATACATAATTGAGTGAAGCCTATGCATTAGTAAGAGTAAAATTATAATATACTTTCAAAGGCAAAGTTAAAAATGAAAAATCTAGAAATCCTAATTTTTACGGTTGGTTTTAAACCACCATATCCATCGCAAATTTTTTCCCGTTTGACATTAATTTTGTGATCAAAACGAATTTTTTAATTAAAAGTACTTTTAGAAAACCACACCAAACATGATCTTAAAAGATTTAAATTTAAACAATTAGGTATAAAATATATGTACACTATCAATATATTAAAAGAAATTAGCTTATAATATTAAATTATTCCAAGAATACTTTAATTTAAATGTTTAATTAAGTTTGCAACAAAACTATCACTTTCTCATACACCCTACTTTTGTCAAATAATACCAAAAGAATCATTTTCAGTTTATGTCTCCTTCTATGCTTTAAAACCCCATGCATCCAATGGCTATGATAAATTGCAAAAAATAATCAGAGGCCCTTGTACTTTTGAAAAAAACCTAAATGTGACCCTCGTATTATTTTTTCTTTTAATGTGACCCTTTAACTCATAAACAAACCCAATGTGGTTCTTTGACTAACGTTTTTCATCGTTTTTCTGTTATAGTGATGACGTGACAGTTCACGGTGCTGATGTGACAATCCATCTACTATGTTTGAGTTACCAATTTAGTCCAGCTGTCATGTTATCAACTGCCGTGTACTACATCAATATCATGGACTGTCATGTCAGCACCATAACAATTAACGATAAAAAAAGTTGGTCAAAGTACCACATTGGGTATATTTTGTAAGTTGGAGGGTCATATCGAGAAAAAAAATCATATATTGTATTATTTGTTCAAAGCTAACTCTCAACCATTTAACATTAAACGTTCATACCCCTGATATTCCTAGTACTTGAATCTATGACTTCAAAAAAATATTAATTTCTTTACCAACGAGATTATTTAATTAGTGAAAAAACCTTAAATTTATATAAATATTTAGTTAAAATAGACACAAAATAATTATATATTGTGTATCGTAATTATTGATGCAACGAATGCTGCCACGATGAATATGTGCAATAATAATGGCAGATGAAAGTGTGTAAGGATTTCTGCAACTTATACGTAAACCACACATCTTGATACAAATGTGTATAAAAGGTGAGGCAATCCCTTTTTATCATAAAAAAGAACACACCCCATAGATATAGGCAAATGGCAATGTGGTAGCCTAGGCATTTCACATTTGGGTATGGGAATCGACAAGTTTTACTGTACGATACCTTTAATATATAATTAAAAAAAGATGTTATTGATTTTGTTATTATTTAAATAATAAAATCAGTCAAAAAATTACTGGAAATATTATTATTTCTACTTAAAATATTAATGTTTTTTTAATATATCCGGTAAAGTACCCAACAATAACAAAACTGATAGAAATAATAATGTTTTCAGTAATTTTTTATCGATTTTGTTATTTAAATAATAATAATAAAATCGATAACGCTGTATATTAAGACTGCCATACGTGATAAATTCAATTGTGCTAAAAGTGAAGTATTAACTTATTGTCTTCACATCTGTTTCTTTTTGGGTAAATTGCAAATTTGGTAAGTGAACTTTACTCTCTCTCCTATTTCATTCATTGTACTTTAAATCTTTTCAATTTCCTCAATAAACTTAATGCATTAGGTTTTTTTGTCACCCAGCCGTTAAATAGTTAATAATAGGTCTGTAAACGAATCGAACAAATGTGAACACGAACATAAATGAACACAAAATTTATTTTTCGTGTTTGTTTATTAAGGAATCTAGCTTGTTCATGTTCGTTCATTTAAATAATAAACAAAAACAAATGAACGAATATAAACAAACAAATGTAAACGAATATAAACGAGCAAACGTAAATGAACACAATAAATGAACATAAACGAACCTACACAAACATAACAAATGAACATAATCGAACACAATAAATGAACATAAACAAATGTAAACAACAGTAACAATAACCACGTAAAATTCATTATTCTTTAATATAACCTACAACTTCAAAGTTAAAATTATTTGGGTTTTAAATGAGTATGGTTTATATTTTATTTAAATGATTTGAGATTAAAATTATTTGGATTTTAAAGTATTAATGATTAGATCTTAATATTTTAAATGGGTATGGAGATTGGGCTGAATATAAACGAACGAACATAAACGAACATACACGGACATAAATGAACGAACATAAACGAACAGATTATTGAACGTTCACGAACTTAAATGAACGAGCAAGACATTTGTTTGTGTTCGTTCATTTAATTAAACGAACATAAAATATTGTTCATATTCGTTTGTTTAATAAATAAACGAACTTCTCATCGAATGGTTCATGAATAGTTCGTTGAGTGTTCAGTTCATTTACAAACCTAGTTAACGACATTAAAATGAGCTGTTATATAGATGCAAAACGACATCATTTTAGTGAAAATTTTGTTTTCATAAAACGAAGTCATTTTTAACGTCGTTAACTATTTAATGGTAGAGTGACCAAAATAGGAGATAGAGTAAAGTCTAATGACAAAAAAATATAATGTATTATATTTTGTGAGGAAATTGAAAACTTTTAAAGCTCAATGAGTAAAATAGGAGATAGAGTAAAGTCCGGTGATGAAATTTTATAGTTTACCCTTTTTTATCTCTTCTATCAAACGATAGATTTTAGGTCAATTATGAACGTTTGGTGGAAGGAGAGCCTCCATCCTCACATTTATCATTCGGTTTTATCCCAACTAAATCGGATAGAATGATAAATTAAAATTAATGATTCAATTAGTTCAATAGATAATATAAATTTGGACTTAAATTTGTAAAATTTATCATTTTGGTCCTAAACTTTTTTAACAATTTTATTTATTGAACTTAATTTTTAGATTTATTTTAATGACTTGTCACTCTCTAAAGTATGGCACTTGGCACAATTTCTGTGATCCACATCATCATAATGATTAAAATGAAAAAAAAACTATAAGTTCGGGATTAATATAAATTCGAAAATTTAAACAAGTTGTTTAAGAGCTGTGGCTATAATTGATCCCCCAATCGATATCAGCCTCTACAATTAATTGTGGCGGCAAAGAGCTCAAACAACACGCTAGTTATAGTAGGCTATAGCTGTAATGGAAGAAAAGTTCTACACCGGCATTCTCAATATATAACTAAAAAAAATATTATATGTTTTGTTATTATTTAAATAATAAAATTGATAAAAAAAATATTTAAAATATTATTATTTTTATCTAAAATATTAATTTTTTAATATTTTTAAAAAAATATCTAACAATAACAAAATCGATAACATTTTTTAATTATATATTAAGGCTCCGCACGTGACAATTTCCAGTAATTGCATCCTCACCCACAGACCACGGATGATTTTATGTTACGATGATAAATTTAAATTTTTTAAAATTCAAAAAGAAGAAAATAAATTTTTAATATAAAATATATAATAATTTGAACATTTGTTGTGGTCGGTCCATCCCTCCTCTAACTAGGTTCTTGCGCCTTGCGTCTAATAGAAGAAACCTATATTTTACACTTTATTCGGTTTAATTATGCTCTTAGACGCTATACTATTCCTTCTTTTAAAATTTGGTATAGGATTAATTGGAATTCAACCCCAAGTACAGTTAATGTCCTTTGACAGTGTTATTAATGGGATTCAACTATCAAATCAAAAGGTACAAGATTAATTTCTGAAATCAAAATCAGATGGACTAAATTTAAAATGTTTAAAGAATACAGGGACTTATAGTAGAATTAGACCACTTTAGTTTAAAGCAACGACCTTTTGTTTAGGGACAAGAACGGGTCGGATTTAGCTTTTTTTTTGTCAACCTGACTAATTTTGAAAAATATGTATTGTCTACTCGAATTTGATCTGACCTAAAAATTATATATCTTCTCTCAAGTGGCGGATGTACATTGTGGTTAGGGTGGTCATGTGTCCACCCTAATTTTTTTGGAATTCTAAATTTCTTCTTAAAATTCAA